GTTCCATCTCATATATATATATATGCCTACTATAAATGCACTTTTTGTTATTGATCTCAAAGTGCATATTGTTAAAATTTGTCCCAAGAGCATGCACTTATAGAGGTTTTACTGTATTATTCCTTTGACACACAGCATATAGTTCACTACATGTTATTAATGTTATCTATATCCCAGTTACAAAAATTATATTCTTGATACGCTTCACTTGTAAAAATCTTGACAAATTTTACTTATTTGACATATATGCAATGTAAATCACCAACATATACATACAAATGTGTCTGTATAATATGATAAACACAATATGATGGGCTCTGGTATGCACTAGCCTATTACTTATTAGAAAAGTTAGTAAAGAATTTCGGTTGTAACATAATGATGAACTTTTTAATAATGCTATAACAATATCTAAATGTTAAACAGAGTAAAACCTAGCTTGAAAAAAAAATCCCAGCACATCGACAGGCGTAGAACTAGTTTAGTAATTTTTTACTTCAAATGGATTATACCGATACCGATACGTACATAGCATAATCAAATACAAATTTGGAAATTTATGTTACACAATTATGAACGAGCTTTTTTGTGGCAAAAATTTTTTTTTTAAAATACGATAATAATAATTTTAACATATGTCTAATATATATTTATCATATAATAACATTTGTAATTTTGCAATTATATTGTAGCAATATTGCAACAATATTGTAAACATATTTAGCAAAAATCGAGGTTTCTGCAAAGAATAAATTTGTAATTATTACTAATAAGCGACAATATGTAAAAATGACAATGCTATGAAATAAAATATATAAATGCAGGCACTTTTCCTTGCTCGAAAAAGTAGTAATAAAATCGAATCCTAATTAATGATAATGTTTATTTCTTGTGAGTTGATATCCTCTAACTGCAGCATTATTCATTGAAACTCAATTCGCATATATATGCGTGATGCTCTCTCAACACATGTTTATAAACATAGATTATAATTTTTTTAAAGCAATATAATTAGCAGGTGTAAGTTACTCTAGGAATTAAAATTAAACCAAACTTCCTATACAAAGGCAGTAAGTGAAAATGGTTCTAAATAATCCCGTAGTGATCGGGACTTATTAATACAGTATGCATTTAATCTTTATTCTCCCAAGTGTTGTTTTTGTACCATTGTATAATAAATCCCCCGTAGTTTTAATAATTCTTGATGTGTGCCTTGTTCATAAACTTTGCCATCTTTTATAACAAATATAATATCAGCATGTTGAATTGTTGATAATCGATGTGCAATTGCTAAGGTTGTTCTCCCGCGAGCAGCAGCATCAAGTGCCTTTTGTACAGCCTTTTCTGATTCCGAATCTAAAGCTGATGTTGCTTCATCGAGTAATAAAATTTTTGGATTTCGAATAAGTGCTCTGGCAATAGCAATTCGTTGCTTCTGACCACCTGAAAGAAAAACGAGTTAGTAATGTCATAAAACTCTTTAAAAGATTGTTCAAACCAATATTTAATATAATAACCAGAAAGTTGTATTCCTCTTCCACCGACATTTGTATCATAACCATTAGGTAATCCAACAATAAAATCATGAATATTTGCTTCTCGACATGCATTTTCTATATCATCTTGAGTAATATCTTGTCCAGGCAAACAGCCGAAAAGAATATTTTCCTTTATAGTCATATCATACAATGATGGTTCTTGACTTACAAGAGCAATGTGCTCTCGAAGATTGTTCACATTCATTTTAGCAATATTAATTTCATCTATTGTAATTAAACCACTCGTTGCTTTATAAAATCTTTCAATAAGACTAATTGTGGTACTTTTACCACATCCCGATGGACCAACTAATGCTGCATATTGACCAGGTTTAATCTCTAAATTTAAGCCTTGGAGAACTGGAACGTTAAGTCGAGTCGGATAATTGAAATGAACATCAGAGAATTTAAGGTGACCTTTAACAGTTTCAACCTCTTCACCATTTTGATGCCATGTATCAATTAAAGGAACACGTTCTAATAATGAAATTATAGTAGCAGATGCAATTTTTGCTTTGGAAATATCTGGAGTTAATGCAAAGACACGACTAGCAGACGATGATCCAAAAATAATTGCAACATAAATCTTAAGCATTTTTTCAAGATCAATTTCATTGTTAATAAACAATCTACTACCGTACCAAAATATTACAGCACTTACTAAAAAGTTGGTAAAGTTTGCAAAAGCAAAGACAGTGGATTCCAAGTAAGCATTTTTAAAACCTTGACGCATGGGTACGTCTAGTGAATGATGATATATTTTCCATAAATCATCTTCACGAGTAAGAGCAACAACTGTTCGAATATTATTAGCACCTTCACTAGCTATTTGCGCAGAATCTTCATAAGCTTTTTTAGTTTTTTGTTGGAATCCATTTATCATTTTTTTACTCAATGTTAAAGAACCAACCAATAAAGGTACACAAAATAAGCAGACTAAAGCGAGTTTCCATTCAATTATAAGAGACAATAAGACAGAAGCAAAGATTGTAACAGTTAATTGTAATATATTTCCAAATGTTGAACCAGCCAATCCATTAATGTGAATTACATCTAATGATAAATGACTAGTTAAAGCACCTACACTATGATCTTCTTCTTCAAAGAAGAAAATATCTTGTCGTAAAATAGAAGCAAAAGACATAGATCGAATTCTTTCGGTAAGCTTTTCACTTGAAAATCCAAAAGCAATATTTTGGATGGAAATTGCACAAAGGATTATTAAAGCAAATATAAAAAACATAAGAGCCCAGAAATTTGCTTCATAACGTAAATTATCTCCCGTGTTTGAGAAAACTTGAACAATATTACCAAAGATAATAGCAAAGAGTGGGTATATGCCACCTAAAATTAAATAGTCCAACTTTTTTTAGCCTGTAAAGGGCTACCATACAACATTTAAAATTTTTTTTTTCAACGTACCATTAATGAATGCTGCTATTATACCTACGAAAAGCATAAGTAATTCAGGTTTACTGATGATTGCTATCTTCTTGAACAATTCCCAAGAAGTATAATTGTGATCGTTATGTTTCAATCCTATTTCAACATCAGATTTTTGATAAATTAAGATATTGTTAGTCTGATGATCTTCATTTTCCTTAATAGTGTACGATGTAGTAACTTCATCTTCCGGTGGAGTTGGGAATAAATTCAATATATTAAGGGTTTCTTCATCCTTTAAAGCATGTTGAATCTGTTGAGTTTCAACAAGTTTAGAATAAAACTCTTTTTTATCCATGAGCTCTTTGTGTGTACCTGATTCCACAATAATACCTTCATTCATTACAATAATCTTTGTCGCATTGCGAATAGTGGATAAACGATGAGAAATAACTATAGTTGTGCGACCCGTTGAGGCTTTTTCTAACGCATCTAGAATGATACCTTCACTCTGCGTATCAAGAGCACTAGTAGCTTCGTCGAGTAATAAAATCTTTGGATCTTTAATAATAGCACGGGCAATTGCGATACGTTGCTTTTGACCACCAGATAATAAAATTCCACGTTCACCAACCATGGTTTCATATTTATCAGGAAGGTTCATAATAAAATCGTGAGCATTAGCTATCTTACAAGCATTTTCAATTTTTTCACGTTTTTCATTATCAGATAAATTTTCATAAATAGAACCAATCAATCCGTGAGATACATTTTCAGCAATAGTAGTTTTAAAAAGTACCGGTTCTTGACTTACAAGGCTTATTTGTCTTCTAAGCCAAGTTAAATTAAGAGATTTAATATCAAATCCATCAAGAAATACACCACCAGAAAGCGGATCATAGAAGCGAAGTATGAGAGACACAATCGTACTTTTACCAGAACCTGAAGAACCAACAAGAGCAACCGTTGTACCAGGCACAATATCCAATGATACATTATTCAAAGTTTTAACATTAGGGCGAGTCGGATAAATGAAATTTATATTTTTAAGTTGAATATGGCCAACAACGTCTTTGGGCTTATCGCCTATGTCAGAAGCTATATCAATTGACGGAATACGATCAATAGTTTCAAATATTTTTGAACCTTCGCCAGTAGCAATACTAAGAGCCCGAATGTCGAAAAAAAAATTAGAAAGACTGGTAGATGCAATTAAAAGCAGAAAGATTATATTAATGACCTTTTAAAAAAAAATAAATTAAATTAATCAGTGACTTTAAATGAATTAGCAGCTGAGGAAAGAAAAAAGAACATGTACTTGTCCGGAAGTTATTTCATTATTAAGAATTAGTGTAGAGCCAAACCAGAAGGCTAAAGAATGAGCTGCATAAATGCTAAAGGACATTGCACCAATAGCAAAACCAAGCATCAAAGATTTTTTATACCCCTCTTTTTTTGCATCACTTAAGTAAGCATCATAAAGCTTAGAAAGTTTCTTTTGAGCACCAAAGGCCACCGCAGTTCTGATGGTCGAAATAGCTTCTTCAGCGAGTTTTCCAGCACGAGAATAGAGGCTCGAACTTCTTATCGCAAAAATTGTGCCATATTTATTCATTAAAATACCAATAATAATATTAACAAAGACAATATAGCTTATCACGAGTGCTATTTTCCAATTTATAATAAGCGCGATAATGAATGATGTGATGAATTGTATAAAATACTTAAAAAGCAAGTAAAAGATGAAACAATATACAAAAATGATGGTAAAAGAAAAAAAGCAATAAATAAATAAAGATAAATTAATAAATAAAAATAAAAACACAATTTTATGTATACATAAGCTTACTTGAAAAGAGAGAGAAACTTTTTCACTGATACCATCTTGTATCAAATGTATACCAGAAGTAATGTTAGTGGCAACTTCACCTGAGCCATATTTATCAAAATATGCTATGTTTTGTCTAAGAACTGCGTGAAGATATTGTTCACGGATTTGCCTTGCGATTCTGAAAGTTACGAGTATTATTTTTGAATTTCGAACAAATATGATGTTAATATTATATTATATAAAAAATATTACCTTTCACCAGTATATACCCAAGTAGCTATAGATATATATGTAGCAACAAAAACGACAATGGCGATGCATACAAAAATTACTGTAAGGTGGTTTACACTTTCATTAAAATCAATAATACTTATAGAGTGATTTTGAAAACGGGCATAATTATCGATCATATTTCCGACAAAGGTCGGTATTAGAGGCTGCCAATTTATATGAAATATCATAAAATTGAGAATTTTAGAAATATAAATTGCGTAAAAAATGAAGCATTATACACATACCATGGCAGCCCCTGTGACCATTGAAAACACTAACCCAATAAACATTATTATCCAATCAAGTTTTGTAGCAAATCGGTATAAAGTAATATATGATTCTTTTCTTTCAGGAACATCAATCTGATCCTTTAAAATTCGTTCTTCTTCCGGATCAAGCTTTATACCATATGATTCTTCTTCCGGATCAAGCTTTATACCAGATGATTCTTTTTCCGGATCAAGCTTTATGCCAGATGATTCTTCAATTGGTATCGCTGTATTGATTTCAGTCATCTTTGAAATTTATATTAAGAGTATATTATTTTTTTTAAATTATAAAATTTCAAAATTCTTTTCAAAATAACTAAAAAAGTTATTCAGTTGAGACTCGAGAAAATTTATACTATTAAGAATATGTTTATATTTTTTTTATTAAAATTATAATATTTTGAAATTCTTTTCAAAACAACTAGAAAAAAGCTATTTTAAATAAGATTCGAGGAAACTGTAATTTTGTGATAGATATGGCAGTCATTTTAAAATCTGGCTCCTTAGGAAGATACAATGTACCAAAATTTTTAATGTATTTTCCCGAGGTCAAAGGTCGTGTTATGAAAATGAAACATTATTGTGACACCGCATATAAAATATTAAAGAATTAAAAAAAGGAGAAATGAAATCGAAAAAGTCATTAATTGTAGTAACTTCGATCAAAAACAATTAGGAAATGATTTCCTAAATTCTATGATTGTTACAAATACTCCGTATGAAACTTGTCCTCCAATAAATGTTGATCCTTCATTATTAAGACAAGACCACGGATAATACTAATAAGGGTAGTATTATTAAACCAGACAAGAATTCTTAAATTATTTTTAGATGTAATATTACTAAAAAGGCTTTTTGAATAAATCTAGTATTATAAAACCGGGATTAGTAAAATAAGGTTGTGTACCTAAAAGTGGACACATTTTTATTGAAACAAATATCTAATATTTTAAAAAAATCCATCTGATTTAATAATCGGGGGTATTGTTTCAAATTTTGGCCCGCATTAAGCTTAATGCAGGCAAAATTACATCTGGACATCAAATTCTCTTATGATTGGCTAGATAATTTGTAATAAATGTCGCGGATTATGGTGAAATCGGATCATCGTGAAATCTAAGACCTTAATTAAAAAATATAAGCCCTCACAACCCTAACAAAACCTACTTATACTCTTTTATTATAAACCCTAACCCTAAATACTAGTCTGGATTCAAAAAAAAGCCTAAAAAAATATATCCCAAAAAATTTTAAAAATTAGAATTTCACGATGATCTGGATTTCACAAACATCCATGACAATAAATATTCAAATTTCGCTATCTTGAAATTTATTTGTTAGTAAAGTTTCACGACTTGCCATAGTAGTATCAAAAG